CCACCATTTATCCCCCACCTCCCATTTTCCCCTCACCCCGGAGAAGTCCCACTAACTACCTCCTGCGTAGTGCCAGCTTCCCGAGGGGTGGACGGAAGTCCTGCCTGCACTTTGTGCCACTTCCAGGGGTTCCGGCCACTTCCGGGGGTTCCAGAAATTCGCTGGCGGCTTCCCTGCACCACAGGAGGGGCGGGGCGAGCGCAGGGGTTTCCCGGTGCTGCGGGAGCGGGGGTCGGTCCCTGGGTTTGGCCCCAGGGTAGGCGTGCGCGGGGGTTTGGCTGCACCACAGGAGGCACACGCCAGTCCCAGAGGAAGCACGCGCCGGCTTCCCTCGATGGGGGGGGGGAATCCTGGGAGGAGGCGGGTGTAGGGGACTCTCTGTCCCCACTGCCCCTCTGTTCCCTATCTCCAGCCCCCACTTCCCAGCCCCCTGTTCCCTCTCCCCACTCCCCAGCCTCAGAAACCTGTCCCCACTGGCACCCAATCCCCGGCCTCAGAAACCTGTGCCCACTGGCAGCGTGTCCCCACTTCCCTCTCCCCACTCCTCTGTTCCCTCTCTCCACTCCCTAGCCACAGAACTCTGTCCCCACTGGTACCTTGTCCCCTGCCGAAGCTCCCACTAGCACCCTTCCCCAGTACTATGTCCCCTGCTCCCACCAACACAGCTGGGGCCACATTAGTGAAGCTTGGTGTGGGGGGGGATTGGAGGAGCGTTTTTTTACATCTCACTTGTGTGGCCCCAACTGACTTTTCTGTGGGTCAGTGACCCCTGACTCAAAGCAGGTTCCCCGCCCTGCTCAGAAACAGACAATGCAGAAACTTTTTGGCTGTGTCTAGACTGGCCAGTTTTTCCAGAAAATCAGCCGCTTTTCCGGAAAAACTTGCCAGCTGTCTACACTGGCCGCTTGAATTTCCACAAAAGCACTGACGATCTCATGTAAGATTCTCAGTGATCTTACGGAAATACTATGCTGCTCCCGTTCAGGCAAAAGTCCTTTTGCTCAAAACTTTTGCGCAAAAGGGCCTGTGTAGACAGCGCAGATTTGTTTTCCGCAAAAAAGCCCCAATCGCAAAAATGGCGATTGGGGCTTTTTTGCGGAAAAGCGCGTCTAGATTGGCCATGGACGCTTTTCTGCAAAAAGTGCTTTCACGGAAAAGAGTCTGTGCCAATCTAGACGCTCTGTTCTGAAAATGCTTTTCCGTTAAAAGCATTTCCGGAAAATCATGCCAGTCTAGACGTAGCCTACATGTTTGACATAGTATTTTATTTGAAAATGAAGCCTGGCCAACAAACCCCCAATTGGGGCCAAGCCCCCATCTGGCCACAGCATCATAACACTCCTGCACTCCCCTTTCCCCCAGACCCTACAACTGAGCCTATTATACACTGGAACCCCCTGCCTTGAGCCCCTCACATACCAACCCAAACTCCTGAACCCTCACACCCAGAAGTGTGTGGATTGCTTAGTACCCTAACCCTACATCTGACCCCAACACTGCCTGGCCTGGAGCCCCCTCCCTGAGCCAGTGTCCCCTTCTCCACCTTCTCCTGCATCCAGATTTCCCCCCAGACCTTGCACCGCTCACCCCTTCCCACACCCAAATCCCTCATTCCCACCCCGGTGCCCACACATCCTGTCTCAACCCAGCGAGGGTACGGCCAGACTGCAGGAGTTTTTCAGGATTCCAGAAAAACTCTTCTGCATCCAGGGATGCGTTTGTTCTTCTGCTTCTTTTAGTGGAAGAGCAAACATGATCTTTCGGTCACCCCCATATTCCTCTTTCCACAGGAATAAAGGGGGTGCCAAAAGAAGGGGGGGGGGTTTCTGATATTTGGCCCAGTCTAGACAGGCCACATGTTGGGAAAACCTCTTCCTACAGAAGAACCGGGGGCAAAGCAGCAGCGTAAGGGCTGGGGACAGCAAGGGATGGAGAGGAGAATAGAGGGGGCGGGGCTTCAAGGAGGGGGCGGGGCGGTAGATCTTGGCTGGGTGTGCAAAGGTCGGAGACCGCTGGTCTGGGAGCTGCTGCTGGGGCTCCGTCTAGCAACCCGCCCTGGCGCTGTGGGTGCAGCGCCTGCCCCTCCCCCTCC